TGGATCAATAAGACATGATCCTTACTGGACCTCTAGGAAGAACAGTTTAGAACTGATAGAGTTATCAAGTATAAATAAAGTTAGTTTAGTTTAGGTTTCCTCCTGTAGTAACACTGGATCAATAAGAGATGATCCTTACTGGACCTCTAGGTAGAACAGCTTAGAACTGATACCATATTGGGTGATTTTCAAAATACATTTGGGAAACTATAAAATAAATATTCTTCATTCTTTGTCGTATTGAGCCAAAGACTGTATTACACTATCCATAATATAGTAACATGTTTTCAAAACAAACCAGAAAATGTTAAATTAACTCCACTACTTCGCTGTAAATGACTTAACGAAAGTTTAAAATCAATCAAGATGGCACCTAACGACTCATAGTGACGTCATGTGCAAGCAAAGAATAATAAATATAATTTCAATTCTTCTAGACCAGTTCTAATCACAGATATTTTAAAAGAATGGAAAGCCAACAAGTGGAACAAAGATTTTTTTGTAAAAAATTATGGAGATCAGCAAGTTGTCATGAAAGCTGTACATGTATGTAATTTACTGTCTTTGGACCTGAAAAACACTCAGGGTGTTAATTTGCTAGAAAAAAAATTTTTGTCCGTTAAACGTAAATTGGGAAAGTTTTTTTGACCGATCAAAATCCTTGTGTAGGAATAAATAGTGTTTTTTCCAACGTGTTTCTCCTTAGATGCAAACAACGGTAGCTTGGTTTTGTACATTTCATTGCTGGTGAATGAACACTGAAAAATGCACCCGTTGGCACTTCGTTTTGTATATTTCATTTCCGGTGAATGAACACGTATGCACACCGATTACACTTCGTTTTGAACATTTCATTTCAGTGAATACACACCCAATATGAATGAAACAACCCAATGAGTAAAATCGTCTGGTGCTAGATTAACATAATTTGACTGGCATGATTACAGTACAGTTCAATTTACACTACACAACTTTTACATGATAACACTTTTGGATGCAACCTGCTGACAACTTGAGTTTCCTGTGTAAGTTGAACTCAAGTAGTACAGCCAGGTTGCATGCGGAAGTCTTAGGTAAAAGTTGTGTCATGTACGCCAGGCTTAAAACTCACATATACAATGTTTCTCCTGACTCTAGGGAACACTGAACCAAGCAGAGAGTTTAGCTTTACCAATGAAATTATTTGCCAAACATTCTCACGAGGGAAGGTCAGACACATGGACATATTTACAAGATGAGTTGTTCATACAACTACATCCCGAGTTGAGAGAACATCTAGGAAACATTGTAAGTTAATCAGCATTAAAATGTTAAAGACCATATGTCAAGTCTGATTGCGCATCAGTTCTGCTCATAGCAGTTAAAGAGGGACCCACAGATATAAACATTATGCCCAAATTTTTCATCTTTTCGAACTTTTTTGAATTGAAACATGCTCTAACTAGTTTATATTCATTTACAACTGCGAACCAGAAAAGTGTTAGATATTCAGATAATTAAGACAAAGGATTGTTTAATAGTTTTGTATATGGAAACACCACATAAATTTATTACTGTTAGTAGTAATAAATTTACGTGGTGTTTCCACAAACAAAACTATTATATTGTTTTATCGCCATGCAAACTTGCAAAGAACTTAAAGGATTGTTTACATTATGGACTTGACATTGTATTTAAATATGTATTACTGTGTAATTTTACTGAATTTATTAATTAATTACTGTGTAAAATTACTGGATGTAAAGCCTGAACTTAAATCCTGAATTTAAAGCCTTTATTAAAGTGTGAATTTTCAGGTTGAAAATTGTCTGAATGTGATGACTTGTCCGAATTTAAAGTCCGAATTTAAAGGCTGTATTTTATTAAATCTGGCTTTAAATTCAGAATTGAAATCAGGCTTTAAATGAAGGGTTTAATTCTTCCACACTCCTCCCATCTGTTTTTGTTTTTCCCTCCATTCATTTCTTCCAATCATTTTTCTTAGATTTATCTTGAAGAGGATTTCTTTGAAATATTTCCAAAAGAAGTTCGACCTTGGAATGCCATGCTATTGTGGGGAACAGCATATTCAAGATCTTACTTACACATCGGTAACACATTGCTTTCATTTCTCTTCAAAATTCGACTCATGTAAAAGCCTCAGTTTTTAACTCCTTTTTCAAAAACCAGAACTCTGTTTTCAAATGCTAGAACTCCCTTTTTTCAAATGCCAAAATTGAGTTTTGAAATGCCAAAACTCCGTTTTCAAATGCCAAAACTCCGTTTTCAAATGCCAAAACTCCGTTTTCAAATGCCAATTTAACTCCGTTTTCAAATGCCAATTTAACTCCGTTTTCAAATGCCAAAACTCTGACTCTGTTTTCAAATGCCAAAACTCCGTTTTCAAATGCCAGAACTCCCTTTTCAAATACCAAAACTCTGTTTCCGAATGCCAGAACTCCGTTTTCAAATGCCAGAACTCTGTTTTCAAATGCCAAAACTCCGTTTTCAAATGCCAGAACTCCGTTTTCAAATGCCAGAACTCCGTTTTCAAATGCCAGAACTCCGTTTTCAAATGCCAGAACTCCGTTTTCAAATGCCAAACAAACAATGAATGCTTCAATAATATCTTGCAGATCCTTATAACTGGACTGGAACAAACGCTGTTTTCTATGGAAAGAAACTTTGGAAGGTTTGTTTCTTTTGAATGTTTCCAGAGTATGGTCACAGAATAAAGACATACAGAAAGTCGACTCGAGTAACCGCTGCCACATCACGATTCGTCATCAAAATGCTGACGGTCATGGTCCAGTGCGCTTATGAGAGTAACCCCCCCCCCCCTGGACGTCCAACATTTTGAAGATTATCAGGGGGAAGTGAATGCCTTTCAAATGCCTTTCTAACTTATTTCCTTCCGCTCTAGTTATATCCGCCTGGCCAGGACGAGTATCTCTATGTCATGCCAGACAAAAAATCTGAATTTCCTTTGAATTGCTATAAATACAACAGGTTAGATTAAAAAATAATAAATATGGAGTTTAGAACTGATAGGGCTATCCAGTATAAATAAAGTTAGTTTAGTTTAGGTTTCCTCTTGTAGTAACACTGGATCAATAAGAGATGATCCTTACTGGACCTATAGGAAGAACAGTTTAGAACTGATAGAACTATCCAGTATAAATAAAGTTAGTTTAGTTTAGGTTTCCTCCTGTAGTAACACTGGATCAATAAGAGATGATCCTTACTGGACCTCTAGGAAGAACAGTTTAGAACTGATAGAGCTATCCAGTGTAAACAAAGTTAGTTTAGTTTAGGTTTCCTCCTGTAGTAACACTGGATCAATAAGAGATGATTCTTACTAGACCTCTAGGAAGAACAGTTTAGAACTGATAGAGCTATCCAGTATAAATAAAGTTAGTTTAGTTTAGGTTTCCTCCTGTAGTAACACTGGATCAATAACAGATGATTCTTACTAGACCTCTAGGAAGAACAGTTTAGAACTGATAGAGCTATCCAGCATAAATAAAGTTAGTTTAGTTTATCTCACGGTATTTGTTATCTATTTTAGCCCTATTGATGCGTATAATCCTGATTTGAAGAAATATCCAAAGTTTTCGAAAGCTCGAGCTATTTCTTTTGAACAAAGACCTGGCGAGCTTCTCATTATTCCTCCCGGCTGGTTTCATCAGGTAACACGCGTGATGTTTCATTTCATTTGGGAACAAGCAGTGCGAACATCCTTATATATCCTTGACAACAACTTTGCATCTCTGAGTTATCCAGTTGGTATATTTATTTTGAAATATTTCCATCATATAGGCGTTCAATGCAGTTGAAACGATTGCCGTTAGCAGTCAAGTGATGAACTCGCAAAATTACCAGTAAGCCATTACATTATATTTACTTTAAAAAACCTTTGAAGACA